TTACCCAGTGTATGGGCTGTCCTCCCTGTCTCCCCATAAGGAGACTCCACATGTCATCACTGAAGTGACAGGTACACTGCCCTGGACGCCCTCCAGAGAGGCTGCCCAACACCGTTCTGTTAACCAGCTAGCTGGGCATCTAGTCCACTCAGTTATGGGTTCTCCTACCCTGAACATTGTCCAGTCTCATTTACCCATCTTACCCCCATGGGTAACAGGAGAAATTGGGTCAAATGCTTTGCTAAAATCCACATTCTTTCGGCCTGCCATAATCTTTGATATACTAGATTTTTAAACAATAAATGAAAGCCGGCTGGCAGATAATCTGTTCATCAAACTCTCACTGGCTCCTGGGGACTCTGGGCCCCTTTAAGGGGCTCCACACATGGATGAAAATGTCCTGTTCCTCTGGAGCCAGCTCCCATTCCCAGATCCCAGCCCTAGGATCCTGTGGACTCGCTTTCTCTTCTGTTTCCTAGAAGAACATGAGGAGCAGCTGACTGAGCCTGTCTATCATGAACTCTAAGATAAAGTGGTCATCTGTCCCAAAGTTTCCATCTCTCTCCCTTCAACACACAGCTCAGTCCTGAGGTCGGGTCAGGTCCGAGGGGCTCCCCTCACCACCTCCTCCGCAGTTAAGCCCCACCAGGAGGGCATTGGGCAGGGGTTGAGCAGGGCCACCACAGCCCTGAAGGCTGCCTGTCCTCAGACAGTCTGGGAATGCCTCTTCCTCCCTTCTCTCCACACGGGCTGCCTTTGTCACAGTCCTGCAATGATGACGCTTCTGGCCTTCTTTCTTCAGCCTCCTCAAGAAGTGTTTCTGGGAAGCAATTGCTTTTGAGCCTACCTGAGGGTCAGAAGGTGTGCTGTGTACTTGGGGGATTAGCCCTCACTCTGCCGCTACCATTCTCCAGGTTCTCCAGGTCTGGGAGCAAGGACTTCATCTCAGAAGGGAGGGCGGGGAAGGGCCGCTGGGGTAGGGGGTGGCTGTGCACAGAGAGGGCCTTCTGAAAACGCTGTGTGTGTGTACGTGTGTGTGTGTGCGCGTGCGTGTGTGCATTTATGCATACATGTGTGTATATATAGATATATAACATAAAAATACTACAAAAATATGTAAAATAGACATTTACATATGATGCAGTGTACATTTATTTTATATAAGTTTATTTTTATATATAATATATGTGTACATAAAAAATGCCATTATTGCTCATATCCAAGTTTTATAAGTTACTTTTTTCTGGGTCTTTTTCTTTTTCTTCTCAATTATATTTAAAGCCAGCCTGGGCAAACCCGCTGTTCCCCACCCACCATCACAGCCAGTGAGGCAGGAGCACAGCACTCCAGGAGGCCGGTCACCGCAGCTCAGAAAACCAGTCCCATGTTTCTAGATCTTTCTTTTCAAAGACATGACTGTCAGTTAGTGTTTCTCTCTCTTTCTCTCTCCCTCTCTCTCCCGGGGTGAACTGCTGAATGGAACAGGGTGTTCCTTGCCGTGACGGAGATGCTTGGGCACTTGGAGGTGGTGGTGGTCAACATTGTGACAATACCAGATGCCGCTGAACTGTGCACTCTAAACTTTATATAATGTGAATTTTACCTCGATAAATTCTCAGAACTAAAAGAGTATAACTCTCCTCCCTGCTTAAATCTTCCCAGTTCCTGGAGATGATTCCCAGACTTCCGAAAACCCCTGGCTTTTATCCCCACCAGCCAGAACGGGGTGGCAGGCAGCAGCTCACCACACTTCCAGGGGGGTAGGTATGTGCCCCAGGCAGGAGCACCCCCTCCACAGGGATTTCCTGTGGGGAGCAGCCACCCTCCACGCTCCAGCACAGCCACGGAGCCCCTGTGGGCCCTGCCCTGTGACTGGGACACAGGAATGCAGAGGCGACTCGCTCGTGGCCTGCGGCGGAGGAGGGGGGGGCCTCAGGGATGGCTTCCTGTAGGAGACGCACTCAGAGCAGACCCCAGGAGGGTGGCCAGGCTGTAAACATAAGGGGTGAGGGAAAGGCCATTCTGTGAAGGGGACGGTGAAGGGTGCACGGCCTCATACGCCAGTGAGGCCCCACCATGGAAACCCCCCTGTTGACTTCCCGTTGGGGGCACAGGTGGGACCGCCGGCCTCAGGCTGGGAAGGAGCCGCCTCCCTCCCTCTCTGCCACCCCAGGGCCCCCCAGGCCTCCCGTTTCCTGCGGGTAAATCGGGCCTTTGCAGGTCACCTTACCACCTTTTCAAGTCACAAGCTCTCTAAACACATGTTGACATTTAGATAGAAGCAACTGTCGCCCGGGAGAAGGGAGATCGTAACCGTATCTTAGTGGAAAGCCCCCAACACTAATAGGGTCTTTAAACCACCAAAGGCAGAAAGCCTGGTGAGTGAACCATCAGGGGCCCTCAGCTTGGTGATGTGTGCTGAAGATGTGCTCTCTGAACCCCCCCCCTCCCCCCCGGGCACCCGGTCAGCATGCGTCCTGAGCACAGTGCCATGGGGCGCGTGAGGGAGCCCTGCCCTGGACCTGCTGTGTGTCTAGGGGGCAGAGAGGAGCCAGGAAAGAGGTGCGTGTGTGCAGAGAGTGACACAGCTATGTAAGTGACAACAGTTGGGGGGAAAGCTTTGGGAATTGAAAGGAGAGGTAAGGTAGGCTGAGGCTTCCAGCGCTTGGCTTGGTATGGCCAGGAGAAGGGCCGCAGATTGGCGGTGAGAGGGGAGAAGGCGGTGGTGAGTCTGCCTTTAGACCATTCGAGCCCACACGCACTTCCTGGCCCGTAGGTCTGGTCAGAAGGAGCTTGCAGAAGGGCCACCGGGAGACTTCGGGAGGGCGTGATGATAGTCGTCAAAACCTCGAAGGGCCCTGGTGTGGAAGCAGCAGCAGATTTGTTCTCAGAAATTCCGTTTTTACCTAATGGACTTTGGAGTCATTGCTTATTACCTGTGTGACCGCAGCAGGCCCCAACCTCTCTGAGTCTCTGGTTCCCGATTGGTGAAATGACCAGAAATGCTGTGAGTGCCACATTCCCGCCTTTGGCTGTGGCATTGGGAAGGGGGTATGAAGTCAGAGTGCCATGGAGGGTGGGGGGCAAGTCTGCATCGGGCAGACAGTGGCAAGAGCTGGGGAGGGAGCATGGCCTCTTCTTGGATCTTGGGTGAGGCCCGGTCCTGCTCTTCTCTAGAAGGCGTGGTGGCCTTTTGAGGGTCTTCTGGTCACCGCTTTTCCCGCTGTAAATCAGCCTGCGTGCATAGGTGCTCAGGTTTCACTAGTACGTTTACATGTGTGACATACTGTGTAAGATTACTCTGGGCCTTTTCCCCTCCATCCTTTCTGGGGAAGTGTGACGCTGTTCCCAGCCCATAGCCAGTCCTCTTCCGGGAACTCAGGCAGGTTGCAGGGGTCTCCTGGGACAGGAGACTGCAGGACCATGTGTGTCTGTCAGGCCTGTGGCCACGCTTTGGCCAGCAGCCCTCTGAAGAAAGGAGGAGGTGTCCGCTGTAGCAGCTGGGCCCAGCTGGGCTGTTACTTTTTCTTCAGACTTACCAGGGAAAGCTTCACTTTTTTCTTCCTGAAATAAATTATGAACATAGTTTAAAATGAGCCATTTGGCCCCTCTTGCTGGTCAGAGCGGATTTGTCCCAGATTCCTTTTCTTCCTCTTGTTTCCTTTTCTGCTGCTTTTCTTCTTTCTGCTTCTGCAACTCTTCTCTCTTAGGACTGAGAAAGAACTGTCCCCTGCTTGTGTACCAGAGACGTTCTCATTTCAGATATTGGGGGAAGCAACGATCATATTTCCCAGGGAACAGACCAAGGCTTCTGTCTGTCACTCGCATTTCTTCCTAAAACCACAATTTATCAGAAGCCCCATCTACCTTCAGGGTGAGGCCCCAGCACCGACTGCTGAGTGACGGTCCGGCCCAAATGGTCAGGACCAGCAAGGCCAGCAGGCCTGGCCTCTGCTCATTCCTGACTACTCGGATGGACGTGACAGAAGCCAGGCCCCAGGGCTGCCAAGCCTTCACGCTGGGCGTGCCCCGCATCACGTTCTGTTGGATGTGACCTATTCACTGTGCCAAGATTTCCAGCACCAACATGGTATCAGAGCCCTCCTCTGATGCTGTAATTCATAAGCACACTTGTCCTGAGAGAGAACGTGCCAGCAGAGGCAGCACCAGGTCGTGATTTTTGCCATGTGCCTTTGATAGCGATGACCTGGGGACACAATGGGTAGAGGACAATGGAAAGGGAACTGCACCACCGACACCCCCACCCCCTTGTTTGTATTTGCGGGGACCCTTCACACCCTTTCTCTCCTGTTAAAACCAAGAAGACTGGCAGAGCCTTGAGTCAGCCCTGGAAGCCCTGGACTGGGAGCAAGTTCACAGTGGTGGCTGTGCAGCCCCCTCTGGCTGAGGGCCTGCTCTGTGCCGGGCACTGGGCAGGCACTGCATGCACCCCCAGCTCACAGGCACCCCTTTAACACAGGCCATGCCATCCCCTTAAACATAACTTAAGCTCACCCAGATCCAAGGCCAGGATTCAAACCCAGTCTACCTGACTCCAAAATCACTCCTTCCTCCAAACTGACCTCCCATGAGCCCGACAGCCTGGGGTGTGACATTCTCAGCTGAGAGAATGTCTAATGAGCAAAGCCCACCTCACGGAACATGGCTTCGTCCCCTCTCACTCGCATGCATTTCTGTCCTGCCCTCAGCCCCTCGGTGGCTCCTACCACTTACAGGTCAGAGACCAGGCTCCTAGGGTGGGCTCGGGGCCCTTCTCTGCTCCCACAGCTCTTGTCCACACAACTGCCTTCTCTTCAGGGGGTGTGTGAACCATCTGCCTCCCTTAGCGGATGTGTGTCCCAGGAGCAGGGATGGTACCTGTGTGCAGGCCGGCTGTTTCCAGCCACCAACTCGTTTGTACTGTGTGTGTTGACATCTCAATTACTAAACACCGATGGTGTCTGCAATGCCGTTTTCTCTTTTTCTTCCTTCTTTTGCAGCAATGGATGGTGTGCCTTTTATGATTTCAGAGAAGTTTTCTTGTGTTCCAGAAAGTGTAAGTTTTCTGCATGATTTCCCCTCTCCTCCCCCGCCTCCCCCCCAGCCTGGCACGCATGGCTCTCCTGGTGGCCCTCACACCCCCGCCTCTATTGGAATCATTTCTGCCAGAGTGTTCTGCCCTGCACCCGGGGACAGGGCTGCCTGGGAACTGTGTTCCTCTCCGGGCCCCTCAGCTGGCGCTGACCATAGTAGGTTCTTGAAAAGGAAAGAGAAAGAACAGGTGAGGAGCGGGGAGGGAATGAGACAGACAAGCCGACCAACTCAGATGCAGCCGAGACTTTTTGTTTCAGATGTGATGGTTCATTGGACTGAACTTCACTGGTTGCAAATGTTCTTGGTTTCCAAGTTCAGCTTAATGATTCTTGTTCCTTTTTATTTAGCAATGACAATGTCCTGCAGAAAGAAGGCTGCCTCATTTTCCCATTTTAATTGCTACATTTGACTAATTGATAACCATGTTCTCTGCTCTACGAGGAAGACCCCCGTGTGGCAGACTGACCCTGCTGTGCAGGCTGTGTCACAGCGGCCTGTGGGCACCCACTCCCTGCAGGCCAGCATTGACCCCATGATACATGTGAGCAAGCCGAGGCCCAAGCCAGGCTCCCGAGCTATGTTTAGTGACCAAGAGACGGGCAAGCTGGCTGGGCCTGAAGGCCAGAACTCAGACCACGAGAGGCGCCCGCCGCACGGGACGTGGGGTGGCCGTGACCGAGGCTGCAGGCCCTGCCTGGCATGCCTGGGACCCTTCCTCATATGATGCCTGGCAGTGACTCTCCCTCAGCTGTGCAGGCCTGGCCCACGCCGGCTCAACAGACTTGTTTCTGGGTTGTTGTTTTTTGTTTTTTTTAATCCTTTCTGCAGAAGTTTTCTTTGAGCAGCTAATAAACGTGAAGGCCCTGGTTTGGGCACCAGCTAAAGAATCCTTCAGTATTTTTCTTGGATCCAGCTTAAAACCACCCGGCTTGCGATTTGACCTGCTCTGTAGTTTCCATTTTCATGAAATATAATAGGTCTCCTCTGAACCCTTCTGGTAAGCAGCTTAATCTTGAAAAATGCTCCTGACGTGACATGCGGGGCATGAGTAACTTCAGCAGACTCCACTTGGCTGCGTTGCCATGGAGACGCTGGCGCCTCTCCCGCCTGCTCCCTTGGAGAGGCTGTTCTGTCCTGTGCACCAGCTCCAATCGCGAAAGTTTAGTGGGGCAGTTAGAGCCTAATGATACAACAGCTGGACCTCTGCTGGATCCTGGGCAGCGCGGGCAGGCCGCCCCGTTCTCACACCGCTCAGGCTGGCAGCAGGAGAGAGCCAAACTGCTCTGTGGCTACTGGCAGCACAGCCCTGCAAGCCGAGTGCCTAATTTGGTGGCCCTGTCCCAAGATCACCCTCACTAATGCGCTGCTACCGGGGTGCTGCTGACTCAGCAAGTTCTCAAGAGGCGTGGACTAGGGCCAAGCCCAGTGCTTCCCTGCGCCTCCCTTAGCCCTCCCAGCAGCCTGGCCAGGAGGCCAGCCCACGCTGCCCTTCAACAGGAGAGGAAGCGATGAGACCTACCCTGCGGCTGCATCATGAGGAGGCCGAACCCCGCTTTCAGGCCAGGTCCTTGGATTTTGGAGCCGGCTTCTCAGGAAAGCCCTGCTGGTCCGGCCACGGGGCTGCACCTCAGAACCATGAGGGCCCTGCGGTGTCTTTGTAGGAGACTGTCAGGTTTCACCTGTTCATCCGGGCTCCCACCACTGACCCGGGCTACAGGAGGCAGGGCCGCTGCCCTCACGGGAATGCAGGGTGCCAGTGTGCCCAGAGGGGACTCAGGCCAAGGGCCTCAGAGATAGGGTTTCTTCTGCCCCCTCACTATGCATTCCAGCCCAGGCTTCTGTGGGCCTCCAGCTGACTCTGGTTACCATGTGTATTTGATTTTTCATTCTGTCTGTTGAAAAGCCAGCATCTTTAAGAAAAGGGCTCCATCTTCATGAAATTATAGAAACACCCGTTAAAATGCAGCGTTACTTTTCACTACTACTGTTTTCTCAAGTGATAGTTGATGGGCATTTTCAAAGACCTGGGATTCCCTCAGCTCCTTCCCTGGGTACCTCAGAGTCAGCTCCCGCCTCCTGGAGTTCCTTAGGCGCATTCCACCACACAGAGGCAGCAGTTGGGGTGTCTCTCCTCCGGTGAAGAGCTTGGGCAGCTCTGGCCCCACAGCTGCAGGAAGGAAGCAGACCAACTTCTCACATAGGCAGGGACTAGAAGTGTTTGGTGACAGGCACTGTCTTTCGGGAGGGCTGTGACTCTCCCCTGTGTGCCACAGACATGACCAATCATGGGTCCGCACAGGAAGGGACCAACCCAGTTGACAGCCAGGTTTTCTGGAAGTAGGTTCATTTACCCTCACTAATCACTGTGGGCCGCACTGATGGGTTTCCGTGGAAAAGGGGTGGAGAAAACACTAGGTCACGTAGGGTGGTGCAAGTTTTACGATTGTGCTGAAAGACGTGTGACGGAGCATTCCCAGGCCTTTGAAAGGATGATTTGGTCTGTCTTTTCAGATGCAGCCCTTTGATCTCTTGGGAATCACCATCAAATCTCTGGCAGAAATTGAGAAGGAGGTAAGCCACCCACGGTGGGGGCAGGGGGGTCTGGGCCATCACTCGCTCACCCCGGGCTCTCTCATCCCCATTAGAGATCTGTTCCAGGAACAGGGGGGTCCTAGGTGTGGGGTACCCTTCTGAGAAAAACACTTCCATTTTACTCAAACTTACTGCTTAGAAAAAGAAACTCGCTTTTAATGTGTTTATAACGTCAAGTCGTATAAATATGACCAGCATCTCCCTTGTTCTTTTCCCAGTCAGAAGGTTTTCAGTGACAGATGGAACAATCGATTCTGCTTTAGTTTTTAAAAATGTCTCAGCGTAAATAAGGGGGAGGGTGGGGGATTGGGCACAGAGTGAACTTTTCTGCCTCCTTCTGTTTTATGATGTGCCACCAGTAGGGGTTTGGGACATGTCTGCGCCTCTTCATGACTTAGAGGAAGGGTCCTCCATTCTGTTGTGCTTGATAAGCCAGACCCCATTTGGCAGCCTGGTTCGAAATAGTTTGGATGTTTTCGGAATAAAAAGGAAAGAAACCCAAGATTGGAGTACATGTGACAACTCGGAAGAAAGGGAGTTGAGATAATGGAATGAAACTGGAGGTCAGATGTGCCAGCGTTTTCCCCGTTTTCATAAGACAGCATTCCAGCGTGCGTATCGTCTTTTATGTATAGAAGGTTGTTAAGCAGTCACATGCTTGCAGCCAGCTCTCCTCTGAGAGGAGCATTTGTCTCAAAGATGGAAATGGTAGAACCATTTCAATATTCTCAGTTCCTTTGGGTTTTCTCTTGTATACCCAGCCAGCAGAAGCAGGTTGCATTATTGAAAGATGGCTGAAATCAAGGAAAATTGAATCAATGTAGTACAACAAATTTCTAAACCTGTCACAGCAAAAACAAGACAAAAAAGTCCCCCCTTTGTCTTTGATTTTCAGTAAATCATAAAAACCAACCTGATTGTCATCTATAGATGGGGTTTGCAAACTTAGGGAAAAGAATGGCTGGCTACCACATGAGGGACGTAGATATACGCACATAGAATTACATGTCAGCCCTGCCCCAAAGCAAGTTAGTCGGGGATGGTCCCGCGGCCGCTTACTCATGACCCGCCTTTGTGCAGAGGGTGACACTCGGGGCATGTGTGGGAAGGCCCCTGAGGGTGGCCTGCTCTGGTTGCAGGTGGTAACACAAGGGCATGGCCTATGACCCATTCAGGATGGACCAGGTCATACAGACAGATGTCTAACCCAGCTCTACACTGACGGGGGGCAAGTCACGCACTCTCGCTGTTTAAAGCGGGGATCACAGTAGAACCTATCTCGTAGGGTTTTTCATGAATACTAAGTGAATATATGAAAAAGCGCTGGCAGACAACTGCCCGTCACCGTGGGCTGGGTGTAGTGTGGTGACATATGCTGGGAACCCTCACAGCCGTCCAAGTGTTGTGCCCTCTCTCCCCTCGGTCCTGTGAGTGGCTCGCTGGGCCCTAACAGTAGCCCCCTTTGTTTAAGTGCTTGCTGTGCACTCAGCTCTGGGCTCCCAGCTCTACCTGCAGCATTGCTGGTTCTCACCCCACGCTGACCGAGTCGGCGCTATTCCTCCCCATTTCCTGGAACAGAAATGGAGACTCTGCGAGGTGGAGTAGCTTGCCCAACCTAAGACTGAGACCTAGCACGTCACACTCCAAATCCTCTCCATTATACTTACAGTCTGCGGCTCCGTGTCCCTCTTAGGGGCTGTTGGGGACAACAGGGTGTGGGAGGTCAGTGGACCTGGGCTCTGACCCTGGCTGAGCCTTCAAGTTACAGGATGGGGTAAAGTGGGAGAGGGGCCCCAGTGCAGAGCCCAGTGCTTCGGATAGAAACCACCAGAAACCTTAATTCTCTTTCCCACTCTGAGGACTAAAATCTGGTCCAAAAATGTGTTTTGTGAGACTGTATTGTCTTGAGATCAGATGCTCTGAGCAGAGCCTGGCAGGGCAGACGGGCTCTGCAGTCAGGCGCCCTAGGCGTGAATCTAAGCTCTTCTGTTTAACCTTTCTGAGCCTCAGTTTCCTCTTTTGTAAAATCGGGATAGTAACAAAATTGCTTACCCTGTAGCATTTATGGGGTTTGACTTAAAACAGTCATGTAAGTGGTTCAGAACAGTGTCTGCCCCAGCTGCTGCTCAGTTAGCAACTGCTGCTATCATGGCATCGTCATTACTGTCCTTGTCACAGGAAGGGGTGCGAACCAGTGTAAAGCCAGCCCCGTTTCAGTGTGGCCTGCTGCTCTGTGCTGGTGGCTAAGCAGTGACATTCTGGTTGACCAAACCGAGCTTTGTTTCTTGTTTTTAGTGATGCGTTAAAAACACACATCTGTATTCTCTGTTGAAGGAAGTAGAAGTGGCATTAAGAAGTGGGGGAATGGGGAGCGGCTGGTGACGCTCAGTAGGGTGTGTGGCAAACCATCCCCAATACCGCGGCAGCCTGTGCACCTTCACATTTAACCTGAGGGTTTACACGTTACTCACACCAGCCATCCGCGTGCCTTTAATGGTGATTAGTATGTTGATATCCATACAGCTTGGCGAACTGATTCCCTCTTCTGCAACGACGTCAGAGAATGTTCTCCGTAAATAAATCAGAACTGGCTCCTTTTCGCCTCTGAACCCAGCCTTGCTGATGGAGCTGGAGGCCGAGGAGAAGCTGTGCCCGTGGCCCCCCAGCCAGGCTCACAGGCCTGTGTGTGGCCCTGAGCAGCTGCTGTCTCCTTGGTCAGGATGATTTTCCTTTTTATCCCCAACAGGTCTGGCTGCCCCCTTGGTGGGGGGAGGGATGGGCCGTGGGCTTGGAGAGCTCTGCTGGGCAGCTTTCTTTGCTCACTGTAAACTAGCACTTCACTGTATGTTACACTGTTAACCCAAGCCTCCTCCCCCGCTCCTGCCTTTGGGTTCAGGGGACAGAAGCGTGACCCGCACCATGTCTCCTTGCCCATCCGGAACCCCTCCCCGGTCTCGTCTCCTAAGCGGTGGGAGAGCCCGGCAGCCTCTGCAGAGGTTGCTTTGTGCTGGTCCAGTGCCTCCCCTCCTTGATCCTCCGGAATTTTGAAAACAAAAACCCTGGCCGGCAGCCCCGGCGGGGAAGGAAGTGTGCTCCTAAGGGGCAGCATGCTGTTGCTTGTCCAGAGCTGGGTAGGCTTGCTTCGCTGCCAGCTTGAACTTACCTGCACTGCCTGAGGATGTTTCTGATTTAAGCCTGCACCTGTCACCACCATTTGGCCTGGGATAGGTCACTCCATGAACGAACCCTATCACCCCGTCCGCCTTGAGCTTGGTAGTTTGAGACCCGTGGGAACACGCCAGCTGCCAGCCCAAGAGAGCTGTCCCAGGTGCCCCCACCACAGCAGGGACCCACAGTTTGCCATCCCAAAATTTCCTGCCACTGAGTAACAGATGGAGAGAGAGGAGGTATCACCCTAGTTTGGGTGGGCAGTGCCCCTCCATCCCCACAGGATCCTGACAAGCTCCAGGGAGAGTGTGACGTTAGGCCCTGGCAGCAGGAAGAGAGGCTGAGGCTGACTGGCAATGTGGCTGGCAGCGTGGCCCAGAGCCACCTGCCACGTCGGCACTTAGACAGCAGGTGTTTGCAGGGACAGTGTGGACAGTGAAGGCAACGTGGTGCAGTGGAGAGGGCAGTTTTCCAGTCGGGGGGCAGGGGTAGCACGCCCAGTCTGCCACCAGAGGTTCTCGCTGGGCAAGTGCCCCGGCTTCCACCTCCTCAAGCAGCCTGATGAGCCTTCCCTAGGTCGGAGCGCCGCCCCCCCACCCCGGGCCTAGGATTTCCCCAGTAGATGTGGCCTAGGCAGCACTTAGATAAGTTTCATGAGATACCCAAGTAAAGTCATGTTTTAAGGTCATCATTAAAATCAACATACATACTATTGAGCAGAATTTGAAGGGGGAAAAAATCATGCGGAAAAACAGTCACAACTCAGAAATACTGTCAGGTGGCGTGGGTTGTTGAAAATATAGGAAGCCATGGTTAATAAGTTCAAACTTGACTGCTACTGGCTCTCGAGTGGTAGCTGCCCCCACCCGCCTGGCCCCGTCTTCCTGCAGCCATGATCCCTCCTGCCTGTGTCCACCCGCGGCTCAGAACAGGGGCTTTGCCGAGCAAATTAGTCCCCGGCTTGAGAAAGGGGGATTTTGCTCATCCTCCCCATGGGGAGGCGACCAGGGCCGGCCAGGGCAGCTGTGGCCGCGGGGGAGGCTTTCTGGCCCCACCCCTCACGGGGCTGGGCGGCCGCCGGGCTGGCTCTGCTGGTGGTGGTGACCCTGGGGGCTGGGCCTTCCCGGTGAAGGCCGGATTTTCCTCCCCGCTGCCCAAACAAAAGGTGCTCTCTGCTCAGGAGTCGGGGAAAGTGTAATTTTGCAGCCGACCCCTGTGATGAAGCATCTTCTCTCCGAGTGAGGAGATGGGCATATAAATATTCTCCGTCTCTGCCGCTCTTTATTTCCCTTGTAAGCAGTCGCCCCATTTCTCCATGTGATGGATTCCCCATCGCAGCCGGGGCGGGAGCTCCCCGTCCCCGCAGTCCAGGCAGCAGCTTCTGCAAAAATCCCCGCGTCTCGTTACCTTTACGGGAGCCTGTCGACCCTCCTCCCTGCCCACTGCCCCACCCTGCCTCCCTCCCAGACCGCGCTGTCCCTTGTCTCAAGGAATGATGGCCAGGCGACGGCGGCCTTGCTGGTGGGTGACTCCGCGCTGTGTGCATAACAACCTGCAAGCCTCGTAAAAATAGGAGCCAACGATTCCTGCGAGGAATGGCGCCCATATCGCGCCTTCCAGCTCCTGCCCGCCTCCCACGGAAAACCACGATGCTCACCTCCCTTCAGTGGGTGCCACACTCACCCCTAGCAAAGGGAAGTGTCATTAGCCTACCCCGCTTGCTGGTGGAGCAGACAGCCTCCATTTTCACTTGGCTTTAAAGCTGAAAGACAAGGGAGAGTCTAATTAGTAAACGGACGGTCTAATATTAA